TTCCCAGCGATTCGAAAAAATCATTTCTTCCATCGATTGTTCCTCTTCATGTGTCGTCACTATGTTGATTTGTGATGCTGTCTTGTCCTGCCGCGACTCGTACCGTGCAGTACCCATCCCAGGTCGGTGAGTGATGCGACCGGCTGCGTGTCGGATCCTCTTCTGACTTCGTGGGCCAGCAGTAGGTGCCAGTTGTCTTGCCCCAGCAGTACCGTCGGTTTGCCCTCTTCGTAGACCAATTCCCTCTCTATGTCCCGCAGATGTGGACAGCCCTTGATGACGCTGCGTGGTACCGACTGCGGTGATAACTGCAGTCTGTCCATCGTCCGTGCCCCCACTGTGTATTCTTGTGAATTCCGCCCGCGGATCTTGAAGTGAACACGCGTCGAAATGCCCCGGCCACACCTTCCATGTAGAATGGTGATTCGCTCCGCCACCGTCGTCTCGATGATGGTGCAAGTCGACCCGTCGTCCAGTAGCGCGTAGGTGTCGCACGTTCCCGTGGGACCGGTGACTCGTATCGGCAGGATCTTCAGGAACGCGATCTTGTCGTTTTCTCTTGCCGATGCGGTGACTGCGGCGGACTTGTCCTCGACGACGTGTGTTGTTTTCATTCTCCGGCTGTTGTCGCGTGGTGTGCAGCAGAGGGTGATGAGTCTGCGTGCACTCATCCACTCCACATCTCTTGCTCTTGCAGGCGTGGCGAAATCTTCTCACTTTGAGGCAACGGAAACACAGCCTATGAGTCTTCGCTAACTCCCATCTCGCCGATGTGTCTGCTTCCTTCATCGTCTTGCAGTCCGATGGAGCGTGTCCCTCTCGTCGACACATCGGGCACGGTGGTGTAGCGGGTTTCTCCTGCGTCGTGTATGTCTTCGCCGTCTTCCTAGGAGCGGACTCCCGCCGGTCTTCGGACGGTATCTCCTCGGCGGGGGCGAAGTTTCCACATCGTGCGGCGGTCCTTTGCAGGAACTGAGAGAGTGTTATGAGGTCCGGTTGTCCCTCCGGTTGGTCGTTGGCGAAATCGTAGTACTTGAAGCGTAGTACCGACGGCATCTTCTCTGTGACGTTTCTCACTATTTCTTCGTTGTATAGGTAGTGACTCTTGTTCAGCGCTCGTATCGTGGCGACGACGTTCTGCACCTTTTTGCGAAGAGGCAGACGTCTCTTGCGTTGTCCGAGAGTCGTGGTAGCGCGCGGAGTTTGTTTTCGGCTGTGACGAGTGCTCCAGGGCGGCCGAACCTCGCGGCTAACATCTTCATTACTTCTTCTGCGGTCGTAGACCCGACGAATAGGGAGCGTGCCGCGTCCTTTGCGGCCCCCTTCAAGCTTCTGCGCAGTCTTGCTAGGTTCTCTTGTTCTGTGAGTTGACTTGCGCTCTCTTCATAGGCCATCTTCCATGGTAACCACTCGCTCGACGATCCATTGAAGACTGGCAACTCGGTGACTCTTGACGCTGTGGAGGGCAGTATGTTGCGAGCGGCCATCTGCATGGCGATCGCAAACTCATTACAATCGATGCCCACCTTCAGCACCGGTTCTTCTTTCTTCATCGACTGCATCGCTGCTGCTATCGTAGGCATGGCGGCATGTGGGTCAACGTGGCGTGCGTGGTCCCGGTGAAGTGCGTCGCTGCTCGGCTGTGGCGGCGGCGCTCTCGAATCCTCTTCAACGGGTCTCGATGGGACGAACCCCTGACGCTTGCCGGTGACTTCTTCTATCTCTGGTACATGCGGCTCCATCGTGAGTGCCAGCGTGCTTCGATGAACCCAATCCGACGTTCGTTCTCTTCTGACGGTAGCGTCGTCGTCTTCTACTTCCTCGTCGTCCTCTGATTCGGCTTCCAGGGCGGCGACACGTGCGGCGGCCAATTCCACCTCCTTTCGAAGTAGCTCCTCCCGTGCCTTGGCCAGAGCCTTCTTCTTCTGCGAGGCCGTGGTGCGAACCGTGCGTGCCGTGCCGTGCTTCGGTTCCTTCTTCCTTGCTGTCTCCTCTGTCGTTCCTGTGGCTTCGGTAGTCTCCGTGGCTCCTGTGGTCGTCGTATCGCCGGACGTGTTCGTAGTCGATGTGGTGGCGGCGGTAGACGACGTGGCAGCGACAGATGACGTTCTGACAGCCGCAGACGACGTGGTGGCAGCAACGGAAGCGACGGACAGCGTTCCGGCGGCCGTAGTCGACGTGGTGGCGGCGGACGTTGTGGCTTCGGTGACGGCGATTTTTTGTTGCGACGACTTCATGTTTCTCGTAGTCGGCATTTCAGCGATCCGGCTTCAGAATGGTCTTCCTCCAGCGATCCGGCTTCTCGATGTACCAACGGTGTTCCTCCAGCAATCCGGCTTCTCGAAGGACCACGATGAACGGTGTGGACTGCCGTACGGTGAGCGTGGACTGTAGGGGCGTTGGTTCAGGCTGGAGTGAAACACAGGGATTACTATTCTGAAGCCTCCGGTACCGTCTGAAGAGAGTATTTTTTCTTCTTGTCCTATTTCTTCTCGAGTGTAGTGCGCCGCTGCCCGGAAGCGAATGCCGCTCGTAGGTATTCTCCGCACGTAGCCGTATAAAGGGGACGTGGGGGGTATAGCAGCCCGGGGCGTTGGCCCCCTTCTGCTGGTGTCTCTCGCCGCACATTACCATGTGCAGGGTAGTTGGGGGTGGTACTTGCCGGTGGTTTTCATAGGAACGCACTAAGGTTCACTTGTAGACTGTTGGCGCCGTCTGGGCCGGTCGGCGCGGTCTTCGCCTGCCAGGTGAGACCCCATGGGGGTAGGCCCGGCAAACTGCCAGCGCAAGAGCGGCCCATGACGACGGCGCCACGCGCTTCTACACTATGGGACCGTGCCTTCTTCTTCTGCTTCGCGCGAGCGGGTGAGTTCGCGCGCGTATGGCTTCATCTCCGGCGGTCTAGCGTGCAGAGGCGCTATGCCTCTGAGGTGGTCCCATTTTGATGCGTCCGCGCGCTGGAACAGTCTAGTCGCTAGTTCTTTCACGTGTGCGTCCAGTGGCTGGATTTTGAGGTCCCTCTCCAGGGTGGCGTTTCTGACGAACTTATGCGCACCGGTCAGGGTACGCAACGTCAGGTGCTGTTGTGCTTCTAATGCTCTTCTGTTTGTCTTGCTGACGAGTGCGTACCACGCCGGCGCGGCATAAGTTAGACGCGGGCGGATGTACGTTTTATAAATTCCCGTCTTCATCTTTTAGTACCGGACGCAGCAGGTGCCTGGCTGTTCTAGCCTTCTGGCGAACTTCTTGACGTGCGTTCCGAAAGTCAACCGGCGGTCGATTTCCACCCCTAAGTAGGTGGCGGTGCGGGACCACTCGATCGGGGAACCGAGCAGGCGTAGCTGTGGTGGCGTCCTTTTCATGTTGGCTGTGATCGCCTGTGTCTTGCGCACGTTCACCGACAGGCGCCATTTTCCCAGCCATTCTGGCAGGGCATCTAATACCGTTTGGAGTTTTGACGCCGCGTGCTTATTGTTGAGCGACGTCGCGGCGTAGGCTGCATCGTCGGCGTAGAGCGCCAGTGTAGTCTGCTCCGTGGTTGGGATGTCGTCGGTGTACTGCGCATAAAGCACAGGCGATAAGCAGCTGCCTTGCGGGACGCCCGCTCGGATGGGACGCTCACCCGAACAGGTTTGTTCAACCGCCACCATGAACCGACGATTCCTGAGAAATGAGGCCACCACTTGGATGAGCCTTCTTGGCATTTCTGTCTGGGTGGCCAACTTGTACAGCAGACCGTCGTGCCAGACCCTGTCAAAAGCTTTCTCCATGTCGAGGACTACTGCTACGGCGACTTCCTTCTTGTTGATGGCCGTTGTGAACGTGTGCAGTATCTGATCAGCTGCAGGGTGGTGGAGTGCTCAGCTCTGAACCCGTATTGCTCTTCTCTGGGCTTGATGTATGTGTTTATGTGTTTGAGAAGTAGTCTCTCAAACACCTTCGATACATGCTGCAACAACGTGATTGGCCGGTACGATTCCGGTTTCAATACGTTCTTACCGGGCTTAGGCAGCGTGATAACTTTGCCTATCTTCCATGTGTTTGGGAAATGCCCTGTGCGCATAATACCATTGTACAGGCGTGTAATGCCGCTATAGTGCGCGGCGGCAGGTGGTGCAATGCCGTATTCGTGATATTATCGCTGCCGGGGGCCTTCCGAGGCTTCGTTTTTCTTAATTCACGCTGCACTTGTCCCGGCGTAAACACCACCGGGTCTTCGTGTGGCGCTAGTGGCGGAGCCAGGTAGTTTTCAACGTATTTGACTACCATGGCAGCATGTTCGGTATCGGTAACCGGGTTCGGCTGGAACTGGCGTTCTAGGTGTTCGGCTAGGATTTCCGCACGGTCTGCTGCACGGTATCTCGGCGTCCCATCGCTCGCCAGTAGTGGTCGGACCGGAGGCTGGGATTGGGACAGCCGGCGGCATAGGCGGTGGATGCTATTCCAGTCGTCGCCGGCGTCTTCCAGTAATCGATCCCAGCTTTCCTTCCTGTGGGACTCAATGTCTCGCCTGATGTCTTCGGCGAGTTTGTTCAACCTCGTCTTGAGGGTGGGGCAACGTGTCGACTGCCAGTCCCTACGCAATCGGCGCTTCGCTTCTAGTTTCATCCTGGTGGCAGCCGGGATCCACTCGCGGGTCCTTGTTACAGGTCCCGGCTGCGCTGCGATGTCCATGGCGTGCTGTATGGAGACTGACAGGTTAGCAGCGAGTTCTTCGACTTCAGACGAGGTTGAGACTGCCATCATGGGCGTGTTGTGCTCCATCGAGTCCCTGAATTTCACCCAGTCGATCCGACGGCGTGGGAGGCGCGGCGTCAGGAATGTCGGTGTTTGTGGAATAACCATGCACACCGGCAGGTGGTCGGATTGGATGTCCTCGAGGAGGACTTCCTGCGTCGGTTGGCTGTCTAGTCCTTTGTATAAGGCGAAGTCCAATACGTCTGGAGCATGTGCTGAAATGTAGGGATAGTGAGTTGGAACCTCAGGGCCGAGCATGCCGCTCGACGAGAGGCGGCCTATCTTTATACCCGCCCGCTCGCACGATAACGTTTCCAACTCGCGATAGCGATCTGTGCGAGCGGGACGGGGCGAAAATGAACGAGACGCGTGTCTCTTCAGATCGGTACTCTATAGCGTCTATTTATTTATTTTATTTCAATTTACAATTTCTTAATTCTATTTATTGTTACAATTTCTATTCGTAGGTAATAACGACAACACGCAAAGGAATACTTTATTTAACTTACACTATCTTAAATCTATGTAAATCTATATAAAATAACAGAATACAGAAACGATTAACTAGGGACTTAACAACTATAAATTACGATATATACAAATAATGTCGCGAACAATATTTGTTTATTACAATCATTTGTTAACAAAAATATAACATTCTTATTTAATTAAATCACATATTTATTACATAATCAGCCTTTGTGCTGAGACCATATGTTTCGCTCTAAATAAAGATATTTGTTTTTTTAAGCGCTTATCTCTTAAAAACTAGAAAAAAAACTTTGAAAAAGAAGTCAAATAATCAAAATTTAAACATCGAATCAACAAAAAAAGTAAAAATTTTGGTAAAAAACTATGAACTAAGACATTTGTGACACATATCAAATTTGTGTTCACCACACACTGATTTATTGCACTTGTAGCAACTAGTTTTCGTCATCCTTCGTTTTGCTGATGGGCATACGGCACAAATTTTTCTTTTTTTTTTTTGCGATAGGATGACCTGTAGCTTCAGTTTCAAGTGTCAAACTCGATCTACTACTTCCTGGCATATTCAAAATTTGTGTAATCGAATCGCGCAGGCCAGTTTGAAGTGTGGGCACAAGTATACGTTTTTGCATATGTGGCTCGACTAACTTGTGATGCAAAATTTTTGTATTTTTATATTTTATTACAATCTCAGCATTAGTATAAGTGACAATTATATTTACTATATCATCTGTAATAAAAGACGAAAAGCAACGTAAAGGATCTAATTCATTTTTACACATACGAGTGGGGCCTGGTCTAATATGCACAATGTTTCTTGCGACTGTTCGGCCTTGTGACTTTGGCTTTAACGATGACCATTTGTGCTTATATTTTCCGCGAAGTATGTTACGCGATGGTATAATAATCAATTCGTTAGGTTCTTGTGCCGAAGTACTTGGTATCTGTTCTTCAATTGATGCCAAGTCCAAAGACGAAATTTCATCCTCACTCACTGATACATAAGCCGGATCAACCTCGATGTGGTCTTCCTTCTCACTCTCTGACGAATTTTCTTGGTCACTATTATCTTCTAATAATAGTTGAAGAATCGTATCTAAAATAGAAAAACTACACATTACTTTTATGTTGTAAAAACTAAATAATAAACTTAAAATATTACAAACACAATAGTACAAAATATATCGTTATTACTAACCTTCGTCGATGCGACGAGTCATGGTTGCTGGTCCGGCGCTCACAAATCTCTTACACAAAAAACACTACCGTGTATCGCGGGGGCACCGGGCCATCTAAGATTACACGAGAGTTGCAATGGATGCGATCGCGCACTCAAAATTTACGGCACCTGTTTCGAATTCGCGTCGTCGATTCGACGAAGCTTAGTGATCTAGGGTTAAGGCCATATGAACACATCAATTAAAGGTGTATACAGCTCTCACAGATAAGCGTCAATGTATACTAACTAACAATTATACAATTAGAAAAGACCTAACTACCAATCCATATTATTAATAAACATAGATATATTTATTATATATATTAATACGATTGTGGGCGACAAGAGAAATTGAAAATATATGTATAAGAAAGAACTTAAATAGGTTAGATAGGAGCTAAATAGAAGGATGGGACAATTTTCAATTTAATACATAATAAATTATATAAAAATACATACATATCTGTCACGCCTGTCTCCCATTATATAAAAATATTAAACCTATAAACAACAAGTGACCTGTACTCCACAAGGATATTCGTATATATGATTCGAATTCATTAGACTCCAAGTAGATTCTTAAAAATGTTTATATTAATTTATTAACTTTTATTTTGTACGCACGTAATTATTTACTCGATAGCTGAATCTATTCTGATCCCTTTTTGCAAACAATAGTAACTCTTGTACATACATACTCGTGCATACATTAAAAAATACCTAATCAAGATTATTTTAATTTTATAATGATTAATTAGTATCTAAATAAAATTTTTAAATTCATCAAATTGGTTACATAGATTGTATAACACAAACATTTTTGTTTGTTCGAAGTGACGCGGCGCCTGTTTGAAATTAAAATGTAAATGTTCTCCAACATTATAAACAATTTTTTTTTAATCTTCCAGATAACAAACGCAGGCAAAGACGCTCGCACCCATATAAGGCAAAGTGCTGCGGGCGACGCGTCATCGATCGACTCCAGGCGTGGGTCGGTGACACCTATTCGTGCTTTTTTTATATCACAACCACAGATTAAGTACAGGCTATTTTATAATTTGGGAAAGCGAATATTTTACTATTAGCATTTTTGAATGGTAATTTTTTTATAAACTATAAGCATAGTTCGGAATGCAATTTCAGCTGAGAAAAACGGACAAGAAACACAGTTGTTGTTTTTTTTTTTTTTCAAATATAATTTGATTATAATTAAAAAATTGATTGATTGATCGAATGAAAACTCAGGCAGCATGGTCTCCGACCTTAGCCTGTTCCACAACGGAACAAACATACTTAAAAAAAATTGAATGAAAACTCTTTATTAAAAAAAAAATAGTTTCATAAAAAAAATCATAAAAATATTCATAATTAAAAGAAGCAAGGTAAAGTAGCAAAAATAAGTGGTCTTATCGCTAAATAGCTATTTCTTCCAGGCAACCTTAGGAATAATTGTACTTGTGTCTAGTCAAAGCATAACAAAACAAACACAATACTGATACAGGTTTTTTATCCAGCAAAGTTGTTTTACCCCCTACCTTTGCCTAGAGTCCTAGAAAGATAATTTAGAGAAATAGAATTAATTTAAAAAATACCTATTATATTATTTTGTACAAAAGTCGATTGCTTGGGTACCTCTGTCCCATTCGTGTTTCAACCGTGAAGCAGTTGTGTTTGCATGGCTGTGTTTCGGTTTGAAGGATATGGCGTGAATTTACGGGGTACAGAGGAATAACACCTGAGTCCTCAGGAATAGCAACGCATGAGGGGTATCATGGGCGAAACAGTATACTCTGTTATGTCCATGGCACTGCTCATGTCTATAGGCGACGGTTACCACTTTCCATCAGGTGGGCCGTCAGCTTGTTTGCCATTCTAAGTTGTATAAAAAAAAATCTATCAAATTAAAATAATAAATTTAAAGTAATATCGCTTTAGAATTGAGCCTATTATTTTCAAGGAAATATAAGTTTTAAACCCCCATACTGACATGGCGCGTCTAGCTGTCAACATTTTGCCATGGCACGCTGAACAATTTGAATGAGATAATAAAAAAAAAGTACTATTAGGCAATTTTTTTGATTAGACGCGAATTAATGACTCCAAAGCGAGATGATTCAGATAAGGTTCGACCGTTTTGAATTGCTAATTCGCTATATACCATTACATTTGTTCAGAGAATAAATTAATAAATGATTTGTGTTAGTTAACTTAAAATTTTGCATTTTGTTGATTATCTTGAAGATTACATTTTGTTTTTACGTTGCTTTTGGCGCGTATTTTAGCAATTGAATTAAATAATTAAAGATAGTATCTTACAATACCAGAGGGAGACTTTGTACAAAAGTCGATTGCTTGGGTACCTCTGTCCCATTCGTGTTTCAACCGTGAAGCAGTTTTTTATCTGAAAGGATATACTTATAGATTGGTCTTATACATTTTTTTTTCAAAATCGATTTCGTTGTTTAATTAAAAAAAAAACTGACTTTGCGTTAATTGAACTTGATTTTTTTTTATTGTTTTTTTTTATACAACTTAGAATGACAAACGAGCTGACGGTCCGCCTGATGGAAAGTGGTAACCGTCGCCTATAGACACGAGCAGTACCATGGACATAACAGAGCATACTGTTTCGCCCATGATACCCCCCATGCGTTGCCATCCCTGAGGACTCCGGTGTTATTCCTCTGTACCCAGTTAATTCACGCCATATCCCTAACCTTCAAACCGAAACACAGCCATGCAAACACAACTGCTTTACGGTTGAAACACGAATGGGACAGAGGTGCCCAAGCAAACAACTTGTAAAAAGTCTCTGCGTAAAATCTTGCGTGCTATTAAATATGTTGAAACATACTGAATATTTAAAAACAAACTTTAACGTCATATTATCTATGTTTCTGGCAAATAAAGTATTATTATTAAGTTTAGAAAAATAACCAGAGATGAAATGTTATATACTGGAATGTACAATTCCAAGGTAAAGTTGCGTAACTATGCGTCTGTTACATAATATCGTACGATCCCACTGCGAGGGTGGAGGGTGGTGGTGAAATTTGCCGCAGACCCTAAAAAAATGGAACACCAACGCTGCCATGTTTATTACAATAGTTATTCTGGATTTTGTGGCGAACGTGACTTAATCCTCACGAGGAATGAGTTCCAACAAAATATATTTTGCTGCGGCAATGCGATAAATAGTTTGGAATACACAGACTTGAATTGAAATTGTTACATTCATTTTAATTTTTTTTATGCAACTTAGAATGGCAAACAAGCTGACGGTCCACCTGATGGCAAGTGGTAACCGTCGCCTATAGACATGAGCAGTATCATGGACATGACAGAGTATACTGTTTCGCCCATGATACCCCCATGCGTTGCCATTCCTGAGGACTCAGGTGTTATTCCTCTGTACCCAGTAAATTCACGCCATATCCCCACCCTTCAAACCGAAACACAGCCATGCAAACACAACTGCTTCTCGGTTGAAACACGAGTGGGACAGAGGTACCCAAGCAATCAACTTTTGTACAAAGTCTCCCTCTGGTAAGTAAGTATTCCATTATGGGGGAAAGGGATTGTTAGTAATGGGGTCAAATAACTCCACTGATAGTAATATAGTCTGTCAGGTCGACCTCCACGTGGTTCCCCCTGGAAACCATCGTGGTTAATTCTAGTTGAATTTGTCAGGATGGGCTAACTGGCCTGCTTTCATCCTCACCTGTCATCTATTACTGGTGCCCCGCCAGTGTATATCGATAGCGTAGGCGGGGTTACCATGTCATTATCACCTTTTAAAAAAAAGTAATCCATTATGTATAATATTAGCTTTTACTCGCGACTTTGTCCGCGTGATCGGGATTTTTTTTGATGGGTGAAAATGGTATGGTAACCCCGCCTGCGCTAACGGGACACGCTGGCGGAGCACCAGTGAAGGGTGATAGATGAGAATGAAAACAGGCCAGTTAGCCCATCATGATGAATTCATCAGAAATTAACCATGACGTAACCTTCGCTCCAATAATACTCTCCAACTATCTATCCCCTCTCACCGTACTGGTTACGCTTCAAACTCTTTTCTCCTACATTCTTCACTACTCTGGAACGCGCTTCATGATGCCATTAAGAGACTACCGACTAAACAGTCTTTAAAAAAAAACGAGCGCCCTTAATTTTTTACTTTATCCGAGCAGTAGGTGCTTTATATTATTCTCAATTTCGTGTATAATATAGTATATGTCATATATGTGTAAGTATATTTGTTATTCATATATATTTATACGTTTATATATGTAATTTTAGTATGTATGTATATCTATAATTACTAGTACCGCATTCGAGTATTCTGACACTTCCCTATGGTTGACTGGGAGAGAATGCTTTTAGCATTAAGTCAGCCATGTACACATATATGTACTAATGAATAAATAAATAAATGACTGCATAAAATTATTATGATGATGAATTATTTTTTTAATAATTATCTTTCTAAATAATTATTAAAAAAAAAAAGCTACTACTGTCAAATAACTATCTCACTTATTCAATAATTACATGACTAAAAAGAAGAAAAAAAAAAACAAATAAGTAACAACAAAATTAGATATATAAAAAAAAATTAAACGTAATCATTAAATTCGAGCCCGAATTAAGGATATCATATCGTGTAACTTATCCAAAAAAACTCAACAAATTGGGTACATCCTCCTTTTTCGAAGTCGGATAAAATAGATAAATAAAAGGTTGTCTGTAAGAGATCGCCCTAGCGATAAGACCGCCTTTTGTACCTTTATGTGTATATTTCAATCTGTATTTATGTTACTGTATTTCACTTGAATTATTCACTTGTCATTGTATATTTTTATTTTTGGTCCAATAAAGAGTTAAATAAATAAATAAATATAGGTACGTTTGTTTATTATTTAATGTAAATAAAACTGTACAGACCTTCACCCTACTTCCCGTGTCCTTGGTAACGCGAGGCCACCATATCTACGATCTGGCTCGTTATGCGGCCCCTTCGATTACAGTACAACGGTTCAATTAGGAGGGAAGGTAAAGGGATTGTTAGTTATGGGGCCTTATTTCCCTATTACTAGCAATAAATCTTATCAGGAATATACCATCATATA